AATATATATATATTGTTTCTTTTTGTTTTTTTCAAAATTGAGCTGTTCAAAGCTTATTTGGCCAGGCATTGTATATCACAAAATGTAAAATACTGTAAAAGCCTACTAAAATGTTTTCATGAGTTGTAGCTTTTAGGTTATTTTAGAATTTACCTGAGAAACCTCCTGATGGTATCTTATTCATTAGAAAGTATTTACTACTGTGCTGTATGTGCTTTTCAGTATTGACACTTTGATGTGAAAAACAAGTCATAAATACAAAGAGGCAAGTTTATGAAAAAAAGAGATTCAGCATTCTCAAATTTTGCTGGAATTTTTACACCAAAAAAATTAACACAATTGTGTAATTAGCTGCGTTTATAGTCTTTTGACATATGAATGCTCATTTTCAACAACGTAACAAAAAACTGTTGCACAGGTTTACCTACATTTGATAAATTATCTAAATAAATCCACATACCAAGAGATGTAAATATATATTTCAACAAGAAATGACAATGTTTTAATGATTGTTCAGGCAGAAGATGCTTTAACTTAAAGATAAATACGATATATGAGATGTTGACAAACTCTATGTGACTTTGCTCACAGCTGATCTGAGGTCTGCACCATGAAGCAGAATTAGTGGTTTTAAAAGTAAGTTTGGGTTTGGGTTAGTATTTTTGATATCTGGAAGCTGATTCTTTTTAGCTCAGGGTTATCACCATGGTAACTAACAGCAAAAAAAGGTGTATGCTGCAAGGCAGCTTCGGTCACCACTTTAAAGATCGACAAAGTTGTAGCATTATATTCTTTTGAACAAATGAATGTGTGAGGACACAGAAGAACCCTTAAAGGTCCAGTCAAACATATCATTACTAGGTTTCAACATGCAATGAGGGCAGTGCACACCTGGGGCTTATGGTCACTGGCTACTGAATTGATTTAAGGCAGCATGGAGACTCTAGGTTTAGGCAAGCAAAGAATGCAAAATACATTTTAAAAATCAATCTTCTCTCATGGTCAGGCAGGGAGCTGGCTGCATCTATAAATAAGACCAACTCTATTGCTAGGACCACAGAACCGATAGGTACAAATTTGCTCTGCCTTTCCAGAGTGTTGTAACTACTGAGCATGTGCTAACTGTTGATGCACAAGTTGAAATAAGCACAATGCTGAGTTGCCTCATTGTTCAGATAAACGGCATTGTTCCGCATACTCACTATGAAATGGATTGCTATAACAAGGCAAAAGCTCTTTTAATTTGAATGAGAAAAAAACTGAAAAAGCAGACTTGGTTTTAATTTTCTTTTAGAAAATCAATATAGACAGATACTTCTCAATTTATAACAAGCACATTGGTGCAGTTTGCACGGATTTCTATCCCCTGATCTTCACAGCTGATGTAAGGGGATACACATGTTGATGACATTAATTATTAGAAGAGATAACAGACGTCAGAAGACAATTTTTCGGTACCAATTAAAGGACATAATCGTAGGGGACACTCTTTGTGTGACCCAGGATCTCACTGTAACACACTAAAACCAGTGTGGCTAAATTACTTTGCAAACAAAATACAATGTGGACTTTCAAATGTTTTTGGGTTTTTGCCAGAAACGTATTTAGAGTAGTTGTGATTGCAGCATCGACAAACTATAGAAAAGAATAAGTAATTTTGGATTACAATTAATTAGCCTTGAACAATAAATTTGCTAGCTCATTACTACATTTTCCCAGCTACATTTCTTTGGTGATTATGATTGGTCCTTTTGTTCAAGAGTCACCTATTTCTGTTAGGATATCTACAATCTAAAATAAGGATTTGACGTCACAGAATGAGAGCCAGGTTCATAACCC